TGAACCGGGGGCAGCCAGGGCAGTTTCCGTCCCCTCTCCCCCCAGGTGTGCGCATGGGCAGCCTGGGGCTCTTCCTGCAGTGCATCACCTCCATCTTCTTCTCGGCGATCATGGACCGGCTGGTGAAGCGCTTCGGCACGCGGGCGGTGTACCTGGCCAGCGTGGTGTTCTTCCCCGGCGCCGCCTGCGTCATGTGCCTGTCCCACAGCGTCACCGTGGTCACCATCTCCGCTGCCCTCACCGGCTTCACCTTCTCCGCCCTCCAGATCCTGCCCTACACGCTGGCGTCCCTCTACCACCACGACAAACAGGTGGGGGTTGCTCCAGGGCAGCCTGGCCCTGCAGGTTTTTCTGTTTTTTTCTTGTGTTTTAGGGGAATTGGTCTGGTTTAGTTATCCCTGTGTGAATTCTGTAGCTCTGCCAGCCTGAGGGGCTACAAAACCCAAAGATTTTCAGCCCTCACAGCTTTCCAGTTTCCATCCATAACACCAGGATCAGGAAAATGGAAACCCAAGCTCTTCCCTCAGCTCCAAGGAAGATAAACTTTGTGAAACTTGTGACACACAGCTGTGTCTCCTTGTGGAGAAGTCCTGGGAGGTTCCAGCCTTAGGAGCTACAAAACCCAAAGATTTTCAGCCCTCACAGCTTTCCAGTTTTTATCCACAGCACCAAGATCAGGAAAATGAAAACCCAAGCTCTTCCTATTCCCTTAGCTCCAAGGAAAAGAAACCTTCTGAAACTTGTGACACACAGCTGTGTCTCCTTGTGGAGAAGTCCTGGGAGGTTCCAGCCTGAGGGGCTACAAACCCTAAAGATTTTCAGCCCTCACAGCTTTTTAGTTTTCATCCACAGCACCAAGATCAGGAAAATGAAAACCCAACCTCTTCCCTAAGCTCCAAGAAAAAGAAACTTTGTGAAACTTGTGACACACAAGTTAACTGATAACACACAAGATAACTGTCCCTGTTATCCTTGTGGAGAAGTCCTAGGAGGTTCCAGCCTGAGGGGCTACAAAACCCAAGGATTTTCAGCCCTCACAGCTCTTTAGTTTCCATCCATAACACCAGGATCAGGAAAATGAAAACCCAAGCTCTTCCCTCAGCTCCAAGAAAAAGAAACCTTGTGAAACTTGTGACACACAAGTTAACTGATAACACACAAGATAACTGTCCCTGTTATCTTTGTGGAGAAGTCCTAGGAGGTTCCAGCCTTAGGGGGCTACAAACCCTTAAGATTTTCAGCCCTCAGCTTTCCAGTTTCCATCCATAACACCAGGATCAGGAAAATGGGAATCCAAGCCCTTCCCTCAGCTCCAAGGAAAAGAATCCTTGTGAAACTTGTGACACACAGCTGTGTCTCCTTGTGGAGAAGTCCTAGGAGGTTCCAGCCTGCGGGGCTACAAACCCTAAAGATTTTCAGCCCTCAGCTTTCCAGTTTCCATCCATAACACCAGGATGAGCAAAATGAAAACCCAAGCTCTTCACTCAGCTCCAAGGAAAAGAAACCTTGTGAAACTTGTGACAGAACCCTGTCCCTGTTATCCTTGTGGAGAAGTCCTAGGAGGTTCCAGCCTGAGGGGCTACAAACCCCAAGGATTCTCAGCCCTCACAGCTTTCCAGTTTCCATCCATAACACCAGGATCAGTAAGGGAAGAGCTTGGCTTTTCATTTAAGCTCCAAGAAAGAGAAACCTTGTGAAACTTGTGACACACAGCCCTGTCCCACAGATGTTATCCTTGTGGAGAAGTCCTGGGAGGTTCCAGCCTAAGGGGGCTACAAACCCTAAAGATTTTCAGCTCTCACAGCTTTCCAGTTTCCATCCATAACACCAGGATCAGGAAAATGGGAACCCAAGCTCTTCCCTCAGCTCCAAGAAAGAGAAACCTTGTGAAACTTGTGACACACAGCCCTGTCCCACAGGTGTTATCCTTGTGGAGAAGTCCTAGGAGGTTCCAGCCTGAGGGGCTACAAAACCCAAAGATTTTCAGCCCTCAGCTTTCCAGTTTCCATCCATAACACCAGGATGAGCAAAATGAAAACCCAAACTCTTCCCTCAGCTCCAAGGAAGAGAAAGAAAGAAATCCATGTTTCCATCCATAACACCAGGATCAGTAAGGGAAGAGCTTGGCTTTTCATTTAAGCTCCAAGGAAGAGAAACCTTGTGAAACTTGTGACACACAGCCCTGTCCCACAGATGTTATCCTTGTGGAGAACTCCTAGGAGGTTCCTGAGCTGCTCACTGGATTAATGGGAGTTCCTCTTGTGCTGCAAATGCAGGATTAATTTGTGGTTTGAGAGCAGCTCTTTCATCCCAGGGGCAGGGGCTGGCTGTGCTGTGGAAGGAGGAGTGGGAGTTGTTACCACAGGCATCCAGATGTTCCCATTGAGCAAACCCACCCCAGCTGGCACCAGGATGGGAATGCTGAGCTTGGCAGGAGCTGAGGCCTGGCTGGGATGTTTTATCAATGGGCTGGGAGGGGAAGGCTGCATTGCCCAAGGCGGGCAGGGCACAGCTGGCTCTGCTCCCTGCTGCCCTTGGTGTGAACAGATTCTCTGTGGGAACGCTCAGAGACCTCACAGCTTGAGCACAGCCAGCAGAAAAAGGGTGAGAATGGAAAGGTTTTGGTGTTCTCTCTGCCCCATTTATTTTTTTTTTCCTGGCTGGAGTGAGGAGGGTCTGGGCAGGCAGATGGAGCAGCTTGGTTGGGGTTTGGGGCAGAGCTGAGAAAAGAGCCCTTCCCTGAGTTCCCAGGGCTGCTGGGTCCCAGCTGGTGGCACTTTGAACCATCCCAGATGAGAATTGGCTGCTCGTGATGGGCTCTGGGTCTGGGTTCCCAGTCACCC